TGATCTTCAAAAAGCCTACGACACCACTTGGAGGTATGGTATTTTACGAGACTTGGCGGATCTGGGAATCCGCGGCAGAATGCTTAACTGTCTCTCCGACTTCTTGTCCAACCGAACCTTCCAGGTCCGCCTTGGCGTGACACTCTCTCGTGTATTTACTCAAGAAAACGGTGTACCTCAGGGGTGCGTTCTGAGCACTACACTTTTTGTTGTGAAAATGAACTCTGTAAACAAAGTTATACCATCCACACTGATGCATTCTCTGTACGTTGATGACCTCCAGATTGCGTGCCGCGCGTCTAACATGGTGACATGTCAACGACAGACTCAAATCACGTTGAACAAACTAACACAATGGGCGGAGAAAAACGGCTTCTGTTTCTCCGGGGAAAAGACAGTTGCCGTAGTGTATTCTCAGAAAAGAGGCTTGCAGCCGGACCCAATTCTTGAACTGAATGCAACAGTCCTACCAGTTAAACAAGAGCACAAGTTTCTAGGAGTCATATTTGACAAGAAACTTAACTTTCTATCACACATTACCAGTCTAAAAATTAAAGCGACTAGGGCACTCAATGTCCTCAAAGTTCTGTCGCGGAAGCGGTGGGGCGCTGACCGTAAGTGCCTTCTGCACATATATCGTTCATTGGTGCGCAGCAAATTAGATTATGGAAGTGTAGTTTACGGTTCAGCGAGACAATCCTACCTCAAGAGACTCGACCCCGTACATAACAAAGGGATACGCTTGGCAACCGGTGCATACCGGACCTCGCCGCTTCCCAGCTTGTACTCCGAGAGTAACGAACCGGCACTGGACAGCAGACGAACGCAGCTAATGCTTACATATGTCCTAAGAGTTCGCTCATCGCCAAACCATATATGCTACAACATTATCACACACTGTGACAAACGACTCCATTACACAAACAAACCAAACGCAATAAGGCCACTTATACTCAGATTCGAAGAAAAATGTCGCGAGTGTAACGTCCCTACAGATGCCCTTTCTGTTACCAAAAGGCCAAGAAGGCTGCCTCCCTGGAAAAACTTTACGCAATTTCTTGACCTCTCATTGACACATCTCAAAAAACAAGGTACACCACGTGAACACATATTGCAAGAATTTCGCATCGTTCAAGAAAGGTACAGCACATACAAAGAATTTTACACTGATGGCTCCAAAACGGCTAGTTATGTCAGTAGCAGTGTAGTCCAAGGTGCGTGGGAAGAAACAGTCAGATTACCACGGTTTGTTTCAGTTTTTACTGCTGAATGTTATGCCTTGTGGATGGCAGTAAAAAGAATTGAAAGTGCTAGATACAAGAAAGCAATACTTTTTACGGATTCCTTGAGTGCATTGAAGGCCCTCCATATACGCTCTCAATACGAACCCTTCATCGGCGACATTTTAAGCGTATTATCGCGTCTAAGTGAAGGACAAAATATCCGGTTCTGCTGGGTCCCAAGTCACGTCGGGATACCCGGAAATGAAAGGGCAGATCAGTGCGCAGCAGCAGCAAAGAACTTAAGTATCTCGCAAGTAAATGTTCCCGTTAGGGATAGTATCCGCGCAATCCGTACAGCGCTAACATCTAAATGGCAACGGGAATGGAATATGACAGGCAACAACAAACTTCAACTAATCAAGCCATTCCTAAATGAATGGAAGTCATGTTACCACCAAGAACGTTTTATCGAAGTAATCCTGTGCCGTCTTCGAATTGGTCACACGCACATCACTCATAATTACTTGTTAAAACAAGAAAAACAGCCAACATGTGATAAATGCGATGAACCTCTAACAGTGTTGCACATCTTGCTTACATGCGCACATTTGGAAGCACATCGAAGAAAACATTTTTACACCTTGTACAAGTTACGCATTCCACGTCACCCCATGTTCCTTCTAGGAGATGACGCGCTGATACCCCTAACTGACGTTGTCAACTTCCTGGATGACACCAAATTTCTAAATAAGTTATAAGAAGCACGCCATCGTATTTGTACGGTACAGATCTGCAAGATTCACGAACCTGTGTGGCCACAGCACGGCCTCTTGCGAGAGGTCAGTGCTGTGACAGCTTCTTTTGAACACAGCACTTACCTCCTGGTCCTTGCGCACAAGGACACAGGTGAGGCGGGAGTGCTGGAGCGATCCCCTCACATTTTTTGACAAAATCACCTCACGCACATACCATACCCATTGACCACGCCATGTACCATGTCCATAATTTTAAAAGTATACACATTACGCGATTGGTTTTAGGTCTCTATACAGCCGCACAACATTATTCATTTTATTCCATTAGTCATCGTCAACCGCGCATTCATAGTCATGACCATTGTAAAGGAAAAATCACCTGGACGACGAAGCACATTTTCCCCTGACTGACGGATTTACTCCCTCAGAGAAAATAGTTTTTCAATCAGACTTTCACAGCACAATGTATGCCGAGCTAACTAGTGACGTTTTCTTTTGCTCTTTTTTCTCTCCTTTTTTTCACCATGTGGCTGGCGCAGCATAGCCTTAGTTGCTTTTGCGCCACTAAACCCAACATAACTAACTAACAAAGTTTGATCTGCCTCGGTGATGATTTGATGGTACGATGTAAGCTGGGGGATATCGGAATGCTGACTTGACAAATAGCGACAAATCTCTTTTTGGCTCCGATCGCATGAAAGACTGTAGTGTTTCCGAGACAAAGTGTGACTTGGCAATACAAATTGCGACGTTTCACGTAACGACAAGGCTCTGTAGTTTGCAAAATATTCTGCGCTGTTGTCATTTATTCTTTCTTTTTCAAAGTACAATCTCCAGCGTCACCCCAGGTACTCTCAATCAACGCGTTTTCTTTTTAGAGAAACGTGATATGTTTCACAATAACCCACGATATATTTAAAGCATGATCAAACTTCGCTAACGTTGTCGATTTTTACTGGCTCGACAGAGGATGACTTTAAATTAGCTAAAACGGCATCGTCGTCTGCATGCGCATTGTCTGTGAAATAGGTGGTTCAATTTGTTTTTTTTTGTTCGAGATTGTGCTATAGAACATGAAAGCATAGTAATCTTGTGATCGGAAATTTTATCTTCGACACTGATACTACAGTCCTTAATATAACTACGAACTAACACGAGGTCAAGTAATGACGAGCAAGAATCTACAGCACTGGCACACGATAATAGCTGGGACAATGAAAAACTGAATGCTGTTAGTAACAACGACTCGGAACTTGCTATTTCTTGTTCGTCGTAGCACAAGCCTAGCTGTTTTATACCGGGCAAATTAAAATCACCACAAATAACTATCAAATGTGAGTTCGTATGCTGTGCAATGTAATCATCGAATAATCAGCCTCTCCCATGGTAACTGACCTTGCACCACACACTTTCGTGGTCGTTAATTTCTTCTTACCGGGAACCTAAAGTTCTTTTTATTAGCTATAGCGACCCCGCCACCACGTGTTGTTCAATCTTCGCGGAATACTTTGTATGAAGAGGGAACAGCCTCAGAATCGACTATGTCATCTTGAAAATTTGTTTCAGTAATCACTAAAATATGTGGATTAGGGTTTAGTAATAGGGTTTCGAGTAGAGTTAGCTTGTTTAAAAAACTACGGGCATTAAGTGAAACAACTCGCAAGATTTTGGTACAAGGTCGGTGCTAGGCCTTCTTATCCCCTCTACGCCAGCTGTATTGATGACGTTGGTGTACCGCGTGCTCATGGGGAATTAATACGCGGATGAATGTATACTGGCTACGTTCCGTAGTTCATCTGTTGGCAACTCGAGGTTCGAAGCATGAATAACGTTTTTCGCCCCATTGTGTTGTGATCAGACGCTAAACTTTGTATATAGGTTTTTGTTTTACACCATTGAGTGTCCATGATTTTCATTCCGTACATGTACGTTAGACAGCTCTTCTGAGGTGATTACTTCAGCAACTCCAGCCATAAACAATATAATGCACTTAGTAACAATGACGTCTCAACGCCTGAAGTTCGCCACCTTCATAATAATACTGTAATTTTTGGTTAATGAATCTTCGCGGCGAGTGGCCAAAATTGTGTTTTGAGAGGACACTTGTGGCTCTAAAACACTTCTTAGCGAAGTAGATATACAAAAAAACTGGAGCCATGGGTTTAAGGATTTATATCGGTGCTCATATGGTAAAAAAAGAACTAATGAATATTTTACGAAAGTGGCAAGTTTTGCATGGCATTGGTGGATAGGACGAGGTGATCTATTGTGGGCTAGTTTTGAATCAAGTAAGCCCCACCGCGGTGATTTAGTGGCTGAGGTACTCGGCTGCTGACCCGAAGATCGCGGGATCGAATCCCAGCTGCGGCGGCTGCATTTCTGATGTAGGCGGAAATGTTGTAGGCCCGTGTGCTCAGATTTGGGTGCACGCTAAAGAACCCTAGGTGGTGGAAATTTCTGGAGCCCTCCACGACGGCGTCTCTCATAATCATATGGTGGCTTCGGAACGTTAAACACCACAAATCTAATCAATTGTATCAAGTAAGTGAACGAGAAATTCAATCTTTATTTCTAGGGTCAACGACCATTTCTTGACGGATTCACTGGGCGGCCACATTTTCACCGGGCGTCGCAATGAAAGACACGCACGCACGCATCAAAAGACACGCGGAGAGTGCAGCCAACGCAACGTTCTCGCGCAGCTGTTTTTCCTTTGCGAGCAGCTGTGTCTCTGGGGCGCTTCCGTGGCCGCACTATTTGCGTGCATTGCCGGCTGGATTCCGAGCAATCGTGAGAGCGCTGCGTTGGCCTCCGCGCAGGAGTGAAGTTCCGTGTTCGAAATTAGCTACCTAGCAGAAAAACGCTCGTGCTTGCGTACAGAAGACATCGCAGCAATGTCTGTGGTCCTTCTTGAACATATCATCGCATGCAAACGTACAGCGAAAGCAAGAAAACCGAATGCAAACACTAGACGCGGAGTGACACCTGCCTTGAATGGAGCCTTGGGTCACGTTGTTTTGTGAAATCCAGCGTCTGCTGCACGCAAATAAAGAAATTTATTGAGAGCAGACGAGGATACCTCTTCCTAACCACTCTCACCACGCCAGCTGCGGCCGAACTTAGCACTCCTTACGGGAAACCGCGAAGACATGATCCAGGCCAAAACATGTCTGTGAGCGACCCACTACTGAAGCAGCTCAAAGGTAAGTATACGCATAGGGCATCGCTGTCTTGCGCCAAGAGCCTGCGCTCTGCGCTAACTAGCATTCACTTGTTACGCGTTTTAAGGAGACGACATATTCCCCATGAAAGCAGTCCCGATCTCTGGCACTTTCTGACGAGCTCTAAACGTATATCACTTGGCCTGCGCTGAATATTGTCGATGGAACGTTCTATCTTATATAGAATAAACGTAGATTACTCTGGCTACATTTTCTTTGTAGGCTAAGGAAAAGGAGGTGTTCGAAGTGACTTTGTATAATTGCGCTACCTTCTTCAAGAAATATTCACTTCGGACCCGTTATGGCGCAGAAGTCATTTGAATGTGAATCTGAACGATACTATGCCGAGTTCAAACACCCACAGTAGACGGCCGTAGTGCAAGAAGAAAGAGTTAATGTATCAACGGACTTTCGTTCGCGCCTCTTTTTCATTATCTTAGATATGAACAATAAATATGGTATTAGGTGTACAGCTTTCGTTTGAAATGTGTGCCTGCTCGGTAGTTTAGCATAATATAATGGCTGTTATTTTCAAGCTGAGCACTATGAAAAATAACATGAAGAAATGATGATAATAATATTTAAAACTGACAGCGCCGTTTTTCATCAATTGACTACGCCGGCTGGCAGTTTTTTGATAGAATTATGACTAAGGAGGCTGTTTCATTTAGTGGAATTTATTAAGGTAGATAGAATGATTTTTCTAACGCAACACATCAGTTTATGAATCTGCTAAGTTTCTCATTTATATAGGAGTGATTGTTTTAGTACTTTTGACTTTACTAATTTGCCTCTGCTCGTCTTCGTGTAGACGTAAGGTCAGGTAAACGGGGGTACAGTGTCACGAAAGGGCAAATCGTGGTTTTTATTCGAATATTCTCTGCACCTCGGAAAAGGGCCTCGGAAAGACATGGGGAAAAAACGTAGCAGACGTTTCGCTTCTATCTCTATATTGGGAACATGAAACAAGAGGGGAAGACAGCGACAAGCAGGCTACGAATTTTATGGGACATCGATTTTATATGACATTTTTTAAGCTCTTATTCACCGGGCACTACTACGTGTTTCTGTTTTATCACATCATTTTTTATGTTTTAGATATTCTAAGGTTTTTAAATTGTTTTTAGACAAGACGTTCCCTGTGTCCCACCATGAAACCATGTACTTCACTTTCAATGCCTTTAAGACGATTGTTAAAGGCTAATCTTCATTCATAAGCTTCCAACCGGACTATGCTTAGCAGTTTTTAGACATTATCTTCGCCCTCAAAAGCAACCTTGTGGGTGGCGCTAACACGCCTCGCAGCAAAAAAAAAAAAGACTTTTTTTTTTCATCTGATTCCGCGCATTCCAAGACTGTAAAACGTAGGATCGCCCTGCGTTGCCTTCAATTCACGCTGCGCAGATCGTGTCGCCACATTATGTGGACCAGCCTAGATAATCAAATTGGTAGACTCAAAAAAGCTGAATTTCTTCGGCAATCTTGCATGCTGTTGCCATGTGCTACAGAAGCTCAATACAAGCACTCAGAAAGAGCACTCGAGAGAAAGGGAGCACGCTAAATCACAGGTCGTCCCTTGTTTGCACTAGCTGAGCCATAAACTTAATGCGGTGGCCTCTAGGTTTGCGATTCTTATTGTGTTTAGCACCCCGAATAATCTGGCATACTTGCGCACATGAAATTCTCGTGCTAAGCAGCAAGGGTTTTCAAAAAGGGCACGTGCAACTCGTGAGGCGGTGTGCCGAAGTTGTTCATGGAGTCCCCTCCAAATGTGGCAGCTCCTAATAATGACAAACGGGGTGGTGTATTAACGACCACCTCCAGGAGCATGCCAATAGTAATGGTAAGAGTGATGGTTTGCATCGTTCTGTGCACGTCAGGTCCTGCGCGACACGTTTTGCGCAAGCTAGGAATATTGGCAAAAGCAGACACAAAACAGCAAGGCAACCGCTGTTTCGTAAGTGAGGCCCCAATATCGCTCTACGTTGCAGAAATGTCCTTTTTGATCGATAAGCTGCGTTAGCACGTGGAGTACCTCGGCGCATCGGCGCAGCTGTGTTCGGTTTACGTATTTAACCGACGATCTACAGCCAATAAAACAGTTAGTAGTTTGCGCTCGACCTGTTTAAGTGGTTCTTCTTTGTGGCGTATTTGCTTTATTTGCGCAATTTTTTTCCTGTGATGCAAGAGGCGTATTATTTTAAAGGTAATTGGTCGGCTTGTGTCAATGGCATGTCTATAGTACTCTAGCAATCTGAGTTCTCTTGTAATAATGAACTGCTCACTGTGATCACATATCAGTGGTAAATCTTTCACTCCAGTGCACAGTGGTTGACGTTCACCTAATTTTCAGCCTGCATCTGCAATAAAGCGCTGGTAGTTTGGCGCCCGTCGTTCTCGTTTCTCCCCTCTTATGTTTTCATGTTCTTAGTACAGCGCCAGTCATGAAATGTTCAGAAAAGAAAGGCAGCAACTGCCCTAAAAACGTTTTTCTATAGGAGGCATCAGAGACTAAATTAGTGACTGATTGATTGATTGATTGATTGATTGGCTGTTAAGCTCATTAACGGACTTTCCATCGGTTCAGTGCAGTTTGATTAATGGTTCGATATGAGAACGCACTTTATTACACGTACCACGTGCTTCCATCTCTTCATAGTTGCTTTAGAAATTGGCAATGCGCAGGAGCCTTTATTTTTCTAGCAGGAAGCCAAAGTTTTCGATCTAAAATGTCTCACAGGAGCATTCACGGGCGCTAACTTTGCGACACTCCGCTGTGCTCCTCGTAAGATTTAACGAAAAACGCCAATAAATTGAACCATTTTTACAGACTTCCAGTTAACAATGCAGTGTTTTTTATTAAGCCTAGAAGGGTGGCCACACGACCAGTTCAGTCAAACTGAAAGACAGTGTACTCTTGAGGATTGATTGACATGCAGTGTCGGCGATTGAGCGCAAATATTAGGGACAAGGCGTAGACTACAGAAATAAACGCGGCAGACACCACACTTGAAACTACTTTAATTGAGAACAAACATTTTGCATTTATAAACACTAGCACTATACGAATTATGATGTGCAATAACAATATAAATAGTTTTATGATCGGCCCTTGTGGCTTCGCGCCAGCTTCGACACAACGAATGATTTCAGGAAACACTGCCCTGCTTTATTCCGGTTCAACAATCCCCGAGGTTCACCTGAAGCAGAGACAACACGGCAGCAATGTTATGAACCCTTCAGGCTATCAGAGCACCTTGTCAAACCTTTTCTACACAGTCGACCGACTTTGATGGTCCTATGGTTCAGGAGGAGCTGTTTGTGGTTCAGGTTGCTTGAACAGGCTACGCTGCTTTGTTCAACGTGCTACGAGGCGTACCATACGATTAGCCGAGCGCTTGGGATCTGTGTGCAGGCACGTTTGCCACGCTCTGTGCTGGCCAGCCGGCGTCATTGCCCAATCGGTGGCTAGCTTTCAGATGCGCAAGTGTCACGACCAAAAACAGAAAAAAAAACACCCATGACTGCACGGCAGACGCACACGCATGACACTACCAACAGGCAATTGTACTATGCTGGGCAGCGCAGGCTAGTGGCCAAGAAATGTTTATGGAGGGAGGGCCACTGGTGGAAGTAGATTAAAACACTTGTTTTTTTTTACTTTTCCGTGGTAAGACACTTCCTTTTATTCAAATTCAGTGAATGGAGGGGAGCCAGGGCACCTTCTTTAGCTATGGTTCCTTATTGTGTCTTGTGTTGAGGTCTCCCTCGCCGTCAGAGAAACGGGGCGTGTCTCGGCGTTCTTACCTTGGCTAGGCGATTTTTATAAGCCGCTTTCCCGAAGGGGAGGAGGGTAGCCCAAAACAGTGCATTTTCGTCCCTCTCTCCTTCCACCGGCCATTGGTCTAGCGCAGCTGAAGTGTGGCGATTGCCGTGTTTCACCTGCAGGGCGTGTGAGGTGCTGACGTGTTTTCCTATCTTGTTTAATGCGCTGAAGCAGTCCTGCTTCCGAAAATTGAAATATCGTAGGAGAGCAGCTCAAGAGGCTACGACGGCTCTCTGTTTGACTGCGACAACAGCGTTTCAAAGCTTGAAAGGCTGGCAGCCGATACATGCAAGGTGTACCTTTCTTTTAAATGAATTTACTTGGGTCACAGGTCTTCTTCTTCGACGAATATTTTATTATATCCTGTGTCTGTCCTTGTGGCCGTTTTTTCATTCGGCAGTAGGTGATTCTGGTCGGCTGCTGGTACACTTCATGGTCTGCAGCAAAAAGAAAGCAATGCCAAAGTATGCAGAAAGTGTTTTGCTCTGAATTTCCCTGTTTTAACTTCAACATCCACGATTTCAAAGCAACAATGCATGAGTTACAATGCTTGCGGCTACCGAAATCTGAGTTCATGCAATATCAATATTACTAAATGAGCACTTTCCAAACTGCATGGCCGAAAGGCCCGCAAAACATGTGTGTTCTCTGGTTCAGGAACGTACATCTATATTTTTCGACATTACGCCATTTCTCAACTTATCAATTTTGTGATAATTACTGGGGAAGTTTTATGACAAGCGTACTTTCTTTTTTTTTTGCAACTTGCGGGACGTGAATATTCGGCCCCAATCATTAAAGCCAGGCCATTGTCTGAACACGTGCGCACGACGTGATGCTTCTTAGAAATAAAAATGACAACAATGTTACCAAAGACGTCTGCACATTCGGCGTATCACTAGTGAAAGCTACTCGCACCGAAGTGAACTTACGCCATGCCGTCATTCCAGATGTGCAAGACCTTTACTTTCATCTCCTTCTTGTCTTGCTTATACGTGGAAATTCGAGCTCATTTTATGGTACATCAGTTTATTAATCACGCGCAACTATCACATGCAAGCATTTTACTACGACGACAAGAATGAATACAGGCGTAGGTGTCGTGCTTCCTTCTTTCGACAAACTTTGTTTTGCAAGATTCTGAGCCCAATCAATG